GCTTTGGGGCGCAAAGGACGGTCACGAGGACCGAGGAGGGACAAAAGGGGTCCCCGCCACTCCAAGCCGTTGCCCAGGCCACCACGCGCGGGGGAGGACGGGATGGCGCGATGGCGCGGAGTGGGCGGGGCGAAGGGAGCGCGAGGGAGGCCGGGAGAGGCCGGGGGAGGCGGGGCCTAGTGAAGGGGGGCGCGCGCGGCGTGGAAAGGAAGTGAGGCGGCTCGCGAAAGGGGCCGCCCGCGCGAGCCCGCGACGGGGAGCCGGCGGCGCGCGGGCCCAAGGGCACCGGGCAGCGTGAGGGCTCCAGGCGCCCCCTCCACCCCCATGTCCGTGCCCCGCTCCTCCTCCCCCCGCGCCACCCGCCTCACCGTGGCCTTAGCCGTGAGCACCAGCGCCTCCTGGTTGATGCTGGACACCTCGGGGGAGCTCTTCATGATGACCCGGATGCGGGACAGGGGCAGGGACACGAGGCGCTGCTCCCCGCACTTGTCTCTGCCCACGACCCCGTCCGCCATCTTTCCGCCCCTCCCCCGTGGCGGCAGCCGGCCCGCAGTGAGGTGGCCAGCCAACACCGTCGGTGCGGGAGCGGCGTCCCGCTGCCCCGTGGGAGTTGTAGTACCGGGGAGGCGCGGCTGAGAGGCCTGGCCGCCGCCCTTCCGGGGCCGGACTACAAACCCCATGGTGCCCCGCGCGCCCCCGAGGCTGCGCGGAAGGAGCTCGCGGCCCGCGCGAGGGGAGCGGAAGGACCGGCCGCCCCTGGAGCCGGAGGAAGCGCGGAGGGGGCGGGGGCCGAGGGGGGCCGCGCTGCCGCCCAGCGGGCCGCAGAAGGAAGCTGAGGGAGGGCGGGCGCTGCAGCGAGGAGGACAGCGGCAAGCGTTTCCCCGGGAGGCGGGGAGAGCTTCACTCGGCCCTTGCCCCTCAGTGGGCAGCTGTGGCCAAAAAGCGGCGCTTCCCTGAAGCCAGGGGGAAGGCGGAAGGAACGGGCGAGCAAATACGACACTGACTAATACCGCGAAGGAAGGGAGAGCGGTGCAAGAGGACGCGGAGACACGGGGGCTGCCGTTACAGCCGGGGCGGTGGGGAGGACGGCTGGGCCGGGAAGAGAGGAGACGGCCCTCGTGTCCGAGAAAGTGCAGAGGGTCCGAGGCAGGAGCCTCTCGGGCGCTCAGCGTGACGTCGTGTTGGTATTC